TGCATGCATATAAGCATAACCAATGGACATAAGACACTGGGGGGTAGGGGAGGCCAGGGGGTTGTCAAGGGCGGGGATAAAAAAAAAAGGAGACATATGTAATACTCTTTGTAATACTTTAAGCAATAAAAAAAGATTATTATAACCATTTATATTCTTTTAAATTAATTATTCAGAATATCAAAATATCACTTTATAATTCCCTATACAAAAAATGTTTCATTGGTAATAGCAGACATGTTAATAAATTGTTCACTATTTTGTAATTTTGAAAAATGAAAAAAAAAATTTAGGGAGCCTTAAACCAAAGTGTACCTTTCCAGCCTCTACTTTTACCATAATGTAAAGCCATTATTCAACTTACAGTCCACTTATTTATTCCATCACAGCAGGAACATATCTTGTTTGTTTCCATTTTGCTATTGTTCTTTTATACTTTTATCTTCTGATACAGCTGAGGTTCTCTTTGCATGAGAATCACTTGGAGGACTTATTAAACATGCATATTCCCAGCTCTACCCAAGACCTGCAGAAAAGTAATTTCTGTGTATGGGGTCGTGGGTATTTTCATTTTAACAAGTTCTCCAGGCAATTGAGAACCACTGCTCTGCAATCTAACCAGGCTCTCAAACATCAGCTAGCTCAATTTTTCTTTCTCCATTAACTATTTCTATTTGCTTAGGAAAATCCTGCTCAGTAACCAATCTGTACTGCTCATTGCCTGTACATCTGCAACTTTGTACTTACCTTTCTTCAATTTTATACGGTTTCTGTCACCAAGTATTTAAGTTATAAGTACTCAACTCTGTCACTGTAGCAGGCATAGACAATGCATATGAATACAATGAAGATTATATTCCAACAAAACTTTATTTAGCTTTATGTAATTCCAACATGTCATGAAATGTTGTTATTCATTCCCTTTCCCCCAACCATTTAAAAAATGAAATTCTTAGCTTAAAGGCCATACAACAGTAAGCAGTGGACTGGATTTGGCCTATGGGCCATAGTTCACCAACCTCTTACTCTAGATTATTGCCCTAATACAATATTGGTCAATATACAGTAAGTATATGAGTACTGAGTGATTGAATTGTTATACTCATGATTCTACACAAAGCATATGTTACTCATATTTTATATATTACCTAGTGTACTAACTGGTTCAGAAATGTTTGTTGAATCACTTTCAACTTTTCCCTAGAGTTAATGCCAGAATTATCAGTGTTTTCCACTTTCTTAAACCAGCTTTTTTTTTTGTTTTTCTGTGTGTTCAAATAGGAAGGTCCAAACAGTCTGATTAATGAAGAAGAGTTCTTTGATGCTGTTGAAGCTGCTCTTGACAGACAAGATAAAATAGAAGAACAGGTATATTTGTCATTAAAAATTTAACACTAGGTATTTCTTGATGTATGTTACTTATATAAATAGGATTTGAAAACTGAAATACCTGATAACCTAGAAAGTGAACTGTGTCTGCATTGAGTCAAAAACGTAGGAGAATCTTCATGTCATTCTTCCATTGATCAATTTCCAAGCAATGGATAGAAGACCAATGATAGTTTAAAGAAAGCATGCAGCCCTGGCCGGTTTGGCTCAGTGAATAGAGCGTCAGCCACGGACTGAAGTGTCCTAGGTTCGATTCCAGTGACGGGCATGTGCCTTAGTTGCGGGCACATCCCCATTGGAAGGTGTGCGGGAGGCAGCTGATCGGTGTTTCTCTCTCATCGATGTTTCTGGCTCTCTATCCCTTTCCCTTCCTCTCTGTAAAGGGTCAGTAAAATATATTTTTAAAAAATAAAAAATAAAGCATGCATAATTAACATGAAGTTAAAATAAAATATTCTATTGCCCTTAAAATATCCAACTTTATCATGATCCTGTTAATATCAAGTATATATTTACTCTGAGTGAAACAGTCTTTTTTAACTTCTTTTTACCACCAAGTGCCATATAAATTCTAAAGGAAGATTACCAAGAATCTATTTTTCTTCCATTGGTACCATTCAGTTTTCATTAACTCCTTTATTGCTTTCACTATCTTAACCCTCAATTGCTTCCTCACTTTTAACTTTGCTTAGTGTTTTGTCATCATTAAATTCACAGTAGTTATGCCCAGATTCTCCTGTGGAAGTGGAACTAAGCATATCTTAAATCCTTTAACTCTAATTTCAAGATTAATTTGATCCCTTGCCTTCAATTCTGCAACAATGCAGTTGCCAAGTATTAACACTAGATGGTATTTAAGGGTGAATTTTAGTTACTTTTCCCAGGACTTGAAGCATCTTACAAATAAACGATATGTATATCAGTTGTACACTACAGTTTTACCTGCATAAAAAAAGTTGACATGTTCATTTCTGCCATTGCTAATGCAGTCATGGCTATTATGCCCATTTATTAGTCTATCTACCTGAAGGTAAATCACCTGTAATAGTGGCTGCTTTTCATGTTCATTTTTCATTATTTTTTTTAAAATATATTTTATTGATTTTCCACAGAGAGGAAGGGAGAGAGAGATAGAGAGTTAGAAACATCGATGAGAGAGAAACATCAATCAGCTGCCTCCTGCACATCTCCCACTGGGGAAGTGCCTGCAACCCAGGTACATGCCCTTGACTGGAATCGAACCTGGGACCCCTCAGTCCACAGGCCGACACTCCATCCACTGAGCCAAACCGGTTTTGGCATTTTTCATTATTTTTTTATAACTCATGATAAAAAGTTCATGTAACATTAGTTTATAAAGCTTATTGCTTATTTTTTTACCTAAAAGATGCTACACAGCACTCAGTAAGAGTGGGAGCTTTCAGTTCTTAACCCCTTCCCCAACAATTTTTTTGTTAAAAACGTTTCTTTTTCAGACTAATTTTTTAATTTTGGTTCTATATAGTATTTTTGATGCTGGTTATGAAAAGAGTTTGTAACTCGTCTTCCTATAAACCATATTTTTTTACCATATTTTCTTAGTATACTCGTCGACGACTGAAAAAGAACATTTTGTGAAAACGAGTATACACGTTTCTGCCGGGGAAGGGGTTAAATGACTTCTAATTTTGGATGCCAAACGTATTACCCAAAGCAGCATCATTGTGTTGTTTTTTTTAGGGTTTTTTCGCCTACACTGTTTTTTGTGTGTATGTTGTTTTTATTTAATATGTGTTATCATAGAAAGAGTAGTCAACTGAGGTCATGACAACTTTGTTTTAGTCTTAGTTTTGCCACTGGCTAACTATAAAGCTATAAACTTATCACTTAAATTTTCTGGGCCTTGGTTTCCTGATCTGTGAAACAAGGGCTTGGACAAGATGACTCAAATCATACCTCTGGCTCTAAAATCCTACTCGAAATATCAACGCATTGGTTGAGTTGGAGTTAAAGAAAATCAATGAAAGCTTCTATAAGCTTTAGAGAAAAGAAATATTCATGGGTCTATCAACTCATTTCATTTCAAACTATTTTTGGTACTCTGGTAGTCCTCTACAAAACAAGCATTAAACAGACCCATGACTTTACTTATCTAATAACTAGGCATGTCATTATGACAGATGATTGCAGTATGTTAATGCTATAGAGGAGTAAGCATCAGTAATCCATGAAATCAGTTCCAAAGGTTCCGATCATTTCCCTCATTGTATGTATTAGATATTACACCGGGCTCTCAACAACACAACCACTACATAGGTAGTCTTCAGTGACATAGTTTTGAGTTTACATTTCTTTTACATTATTTGCCAACATAAGGAAAGCTGTACAAAAAAGTGGTGAGTGAGAAATCAGATCTTTGCTGTTGTGTTCAGATCATATTGAATAGAAATAACCAGTTGTCTTCTACATAGTTAGAAAATGAGCACACACACAGAACAGCAAAGTTTCTGGTACATTACATTTAATAGATATTTATAGAATGAGAAGAAACTAGGGAAGCTGAGGAGGAAGAAAGAGGTTAAGTGGCAGCTTAACAGGAATGAAATGATTAGATGAAGACAAGATGAATACCTTTATGGAAAGGAGCAAAGACAGACATGACGTGTTTTGGAATGTGACTGAAGCAAACACTGATATTGATTCAAATGATACAGCCCTGCAGGAGCCTTATGAGGTGGAATGATTGGAATAATTTGGGCAGAGTTTGAATAAGAAAATCAGCAATATTAAATTAAGATTGATTTATGGTAAATTATATCATGTTGGCATTGGAGAGTCCGACTAGGAGCAAAATGGAAAAAAAATGATCCCTGGGCAAAGTTAGTAACTGTCAGGTCCAAGAGAAGAGATTGAATTGGGACACATAAAGTAAATGTTAGAGTAGTTTCATGATTCAAAGATTTATAAGTGTTGGTGGCAAAACAGCATCAGGTGTTAGATTGGTATAGTCTAAGCATGTCAAACTCAAAGGCTAACACAGGCCAAATAAACAAGGTTTAAGTTTATGTGGGCCACAAAAAAAAAAAAGCTTCAATTTTCATAGAAATGTAGGATTATTTCAATAGAGGCATGCTGAATACAAAGGGCCCTCCTCTCTGGTTCCAGGTGCATCACCCGAGAACCGCAGCTGCCAAGTCACCACAGTTCGGCAGCTCCTGCATTGAGCATCTGCCCCCTGGTGGTCAGTGTGCATCATAGCTACCGGTTGGAGTGTCTGCCCCCTGGTGGTCATTACGCATCATAGCTACCAGAAGGTTGGCCAGTTGCTTAGGCTTTTTAGCCTTTTATATATAGAGATTATGTATTACAGAACATTGTAAAAATTAAGTTACGAAATTTTTATTAAAACATTTCTTACATTCGGTTATATTGGCTGGGTCGCCAAAGTATTTGTTGTGGGCTACATATGACCCATGGGCTGCGAGTTTGGCATGCTTGGTGTAGTCAGACCGGACCTCAGTTCAACAACCTCGGTTCTTGAGTTCTGCCTAAGAAAGAATTCAGAGCTGAGACTGAAACACAAGCAAAAGTTTATTTAGAAAGTCACAGGGCTAGAAGAAGTGAGTCAGAAGAAATGGGCTTAGGAAACAAGTTACAGAGGCTAAAGAATAAATACCCTTGCAGCTTATGAAAAAGAAAGGCAAGGAAGGCGGACCTGTGGGTGGGGAAAAGCATAGGTGTGCTCCATGGAGAGAGCAGCACTGGGTTATCAGTCTTGAGGGTATTTGTCTGGAGGTTTCAGGGACGATCCCAGTAGAATATTCATCAGCTTTACAGATGTGTCCTTTCAGGGTTGTGGTCTCCAGGGATTGGTCAGCACCAGGGTAGGGGGTCATTAGTCAATGCAGCTGGTCCTGATGTCAGCTATAACATGGCTTGTCTGGTTTTGCTGCTTTTCTGGGCCTGGAGCTGAACACAACTGAGGCTTAGATATCATCCCTAGTTTAACCTAAGCTGACTCCGTGGTCAACAGACCCGAGGCTTTGTTCCTAAGATTATTTGATGTGGGTCAGAACCTCATTGTCCTGGGGCTTAATCCTTAAGGGAGAAATCATGCAAGGGCTTGTATGGGAGTCTTATGAGGCTATTCTCCTGTCCCCTTGTTCTCTGTCCCTCTTAGGAGGTCTAACCCACATGAGTAGTGATATGCTCCAGGGAGGAAAGGTTACCCTGGGGATGGAGGTCCTTGGTTTCCCAGTTTTGCCCATAGCTAGGTACCTGGGGCTTTCTGCTCTGGTGACCTTCTGTAGTTGGCCTGTCATCTTGCTCTGCTCATGTCTGTCTAACTGCCTACTACATAAGTACTGAAGTGTTCAGTACTTAAATGTTGATAGTTTCAGGTTATAGGTTATAATAACCATTCTTTAGCTGCAAAATACACTTAAAAGCCGTTGCCTCTTAACATTATATGTTTTCTTAGTCACAGAGCGAAAAGGTCAGGTTACATTGGCCTACATCCATGCCATCTGGAGATGCCTTTTCTTCTGTGGGGACTCACAGATTTGTCCAAAAGGTAAGCCTAATGTCAGAGTTTACTCCAATTGTATGCTGTATTGTTCTTCACTGTTGATGGAACTATCTTGTATAAGTTTTCCTTCCTTTTCTTGAACTTAAGTAATGAGATTTTTTTGGTATTATATGTTTTATTCCATATGCATCCTCCAAAACAGAAATCTTATGATTATGTTCTTTCTTTTTCATTTAAGAGGAAAAGAGTGGGGGGAGAGGGAGTAACAGGGAATGACTAGTCCAAAATAGCCAAAAGCATAGCCAGTTACATTAAGTTTCTTTTTTCTTTGGGTTTAAGTGGTATTATTTTACATTGTTGAAAGCGCTGCATTCATTTTAGAAAGATTTTCGAGCATAACACATAATAGGTGCATGGACTCAGCACTTGCTGCTGAGCTTGTTTCATATAGTGCTTTGTTCTCTCTCTTTATCTTGTGTTTGGAAGTTGGTACTGAATGCTCTGTTGTGCCTTTGTTCTGATTACTTGGTTTTTTCTTTGTCTGTCTCTGGTAGCCCTATAGTCGCTCTTCCTCCATGTCTTCCATTGATCTAGTCAGTGCCTCTGACGATGTTCACAGATTCAGCTCCCAGGTACTGTATGAATGTATAGAGTGGACTTGAGTCTTTCTGTGCTATATTTCAGCCTGCTTTCCCAGTTCCGAGAAATCTTTTGGTTAGGCCACTTGTTTTCGTTCTGAATTTTAAATAGTTATAAGCATTAAAAAGGCCTTCCTTTCTACTAAGTAGTTCTTCTATCAAGCGTGCATGTGCCCTTTTTATCTTTTATTGTGAATAGCTTGAAATTTTGCCATATAGGAGGTATTCCTGAAAGATTGTAAGTTGAATTGAAACAATTGAAGGTACATAGTTTTTAAGTATTATGTAATATCTGATTTATTCAGGCAGGATTCAGCAACTTTGATGGACATGGTTATAGCATAAAAGCAGGATTCAGCAGCCTCACTTCTAATCTAAATTAAAATATAATTATATTCAACAGGGAAATAACTTTTTAAATAATATTTGTTGAACAGCTTGTACTTTCCTTATGCACATTACCCTTTGATACTATAAATTAATACTTCTGTTCTATACTAAATTTATGAAAATTGGTTTTAATTATTTGGTATCATCAGTAAGGGTTTAGAAATTTAAGACAGGAAGCCAGATGCTTGCAATCTCTGCTCTCATAATAAAGTCATTAAAACAATATATTTTAGTATCAGCATTAGTTGGGGGAAAATTTTTTTTTATCTTGGCAATTCAACTTTGTATCTCTCTGGTGATTGAATTATATTGGATTAAATTATTTTATTTTTAAGAACTTGAATTCCCAAAGTGACCCAAGTTTAAATTGTGGTTAGCTACACTTCTGTGATCTAGCTAGGACTCAGGTCTACCTAGGGCCTGGCATATAGTCAGTGCTCAGTAAGTGAGCTTTTAATAATATAACAACATAATTTCTTTGAGTTAATCAGTATTATCTATATCATTTTTTTCTCTTATCAGTATTTCAATAAAAGTTTTTAAAATGCATAATAATGCATGATTCTTACTAGTTTACACAAATGAATAAAGTTTACATTAGTTTTTTAGCTATGCAGTGAAGAACAATAAGTCTAAAATCAAATTGTGTTATTCAGACTTTTGCAGTTTTTTTCTTCTTAAACATTTTTGAGAAAGAGATGTATCAATTTATCAGAAATCACCCGGAGCCAAAACTAACTAAAACCCATCAGTACTGGTCACCATTTTCCCTTAAAATATAGGAACAAACAGGCTATAGATGAAAGAAAATGTAAGTAAGAGCAAGAAAAGAATACAAGCCACTGATACGTGCCTAAGAATTGGGACTTCAGAACCCAGATCAGGACCCTGGCCGTAGAGAGCTATAGAACAGCTGAAAGCCTTCAAGTACAGGTGAATATGTCACTAAAAAGTAGGTGCCCAGCTTTTTACAAGATGTCTGCCAAGTCATAGGTTAATTCTTTACCTAATTTTTTGTGTATCTCCTGTTTGTGAGTTGAGAAGTCTTTCTGAAGGGTTTTTTTTCCCTAATATGTGATGCATGTGATTGATCAGATTCTGTTTTAGCTTTTCATTATTGTACTGTCATACTCCAAAAAGGGGCAAAAATGGAGACAAATAATATTGAGGTTCAAGTGTTTCTCGCCCTTGCTAAAGTATTTGGTGTCATTAGCAAACTTGGGCTTTGGCATTTAGCTATTGATTAATTAGCTTTGGCATCTGTGTACAAGTCTCAGCTCATGACCGCTTTGTTCTTGTTGAAATTATGTTCATAATCCTGATTGGATAGGATAATTAAACATAGAATTATGAGATGCCCTGAAAAATAACTTCAAGTAAAATAAGTGAAACTACTAGGAAATTAACAGAAAATCATGAATCTATCTTCTGAGCAGAAAATGGGAATGAAGTAGCTCTAAATCAAAGTGTATAGAAAGTAGAAAGGACTTGGATTTATAAATGGATCTTTTGGTCACATTTATTTGCATTACACAGTTTCCAACTAAAGATGTCATTTCAAAATGAAAGAGAGAAAGTCATCTTTTGAAAAAATAACATCAGGGTGGGCAGTACAGCTGCAGGTTAATCTATAGTGAACATCACTGCAAAACAATTCTGTGTAAAGCTTTTCTACTTTATGTTCATAGTAACACATCGTTGTGGTAATTATTTTACTCCTCCCTTTTTTACTGTACAGTAATACATGCTAATTGTAGCAAAACTAGAAAGTAATTAAAAGTAAAATACGATACCATTTGATATTCTCGTGCATATAAAAAATCAGGCCCTAGCCGGTTTGGCTCAGTGGATAGAGCGTTGGTCCCGGGTTCAGTTCCGTTCAAGGCACATGCCCGGATTGTGGGCTCGATCCCCAATGGGGGACTTGCAGGAGGCAGCCGATCCATGATTCCCTCTGATTGCAGATGTTTCTATCCCTCTCTCCCTCTGCCTTCCTCTCTGAAATCAATAAAAATATATTAAAAAATAAAAATAATCAGGCTCATATGATAAATACACATACCTTAATTGTCTTTTCCTACCATAGTAGTTAAATCTATATATAC